AATGTTAAAAAATTGCTTCTTTTTGTTTTTGAAATTCATTACTTACAAAAAGATTATGTTGAATAAGCGAGAATCAATAGAATAGGTAATTTTAAATAAAACATTCATACTCACTACCCGAGGATGACAAGATAATAACTTTGTTCTAACGTTTGTAACTCTGCGCAATTTGCGCAAAACATAAACACTCTTTTAGTTAGATCGATATTTAGAATTTATCTAAGTATGTTTGTGCGTCGGTCGGTCGCTCTACCTGCTACTGAAGTTTTCAAATTCCACAATAGGCAAAGTATTGTTTTTATCCAGCGGTGCTTATCTAAGTTTCGTGTCAAGGTGTATATAGTTTTCCTATGTTTATTAATAATTTTTCTTCCTATCGTAACACGCTTTTTTTTAAAATATCTTTCGTAACATACGGTACTAATGACCAAAAATAGTTTTAGTGTGTATTTATTATAAATATTTGCAAAGATTATTAATAAATTAGCTATCGTTGTTTGCTCTCCGTATTACCTCCTATTACCTCTCTGCAGATGGTCGAATATTCCGTTTTTCTTAACATTCATGGTCGCCATTATTACGGAAAAAGGAACACACAAATCCATTAATTATAAATAAAATTCCAATTTATGCATATATATTAGCAACCACTAAATCAGCTGTTTATAATTTTTTAAATTACCATTTTTACTTTATTTGCTACAATTGTCTGTTTTTCTAAATTTCTCTCAAATGTAAATAACGCCTGCGCTTTTCTCCAAGTTTGGCTGTATGTTTTTATTTTATATCAATGTACATTAAAGTATTTATAACATTCTGCATATCTTTGACAATATTTTTCATTTACATACAATGCATAAACCTGAGTTAAAGATTTTTATTATATGCGTATATAAATTCATTTTTTTTTTCTTCAAGAAGACAATCATTATTTGCTGACGGATGTTCAATTAAGGGCTAGTTATTTATTTCTCATTCCACGCACCGCCGGAAGATAGGAGTGTACTAGAAATCAATGCCTGCCGCAGTAATTGTAGCATACAGAAATATCGTAATTTTGCATTTATTATGTATCCTTGTTTAATGCCAACAGATCTAGTTTGAAAGTAAACCTGATTTAGCCACAAAAACCGAGATAGTTTAGAAATTGTGCCTTACCATCCGTAGTAAGTATCGATTAGAAACGTGTTAATAATGTTTACAAGGAAGGACAGATGTTCACATATATACGAAAATTTTTGAAAATTTTATTCATGAAGATGAACCTTCTCCTCAAGCCTAATGAATTCTTCTTAAGGGTTTAGGCCAATGTAAGGTTTTCACAATTTTTTTTCGTAGAATATCTAGGAAAATATTTACTATCCGTTAAAGAGTTTTTTTCATGGAACTTTCTCTTGTCCTAAGCACCGAAAAAAGTGTGAACAGACAAAATGAGTCTTTGCTGAAAAATTGTAGACGGATGTATTATTTGGCCATTTTAAAAATCTTCAATATACTAACTAATGTTTTTAGAAAATATTTATGTGTATTAAAAAACTTTTTCTCACAAAAATAGGACGCTGCAGGTTCGTTGCAACGACCGTTGAGCAGATAAGAGAGTGAGAGCGATTCGGAATGGGTCTATCGTTCTGAGATTGAGGTGAAGATTTTGACGTTGGTTATGCATTCGCTTATAGAATGATACCGTTTTCTCTGCCATTTCACATAATGCACAAAGCATGTGATTCTGTCTTTCACAGAGTCAACAAAACAGTTACTTTCAGGCACATAATCGTTGAGGAAAGAAAATGAACCAGAATATTTGTATATTAAAGAACATTTTTACGGATCTGGCATGAAAGATTAACGATAAATAATAATGAAAAATTTGTAGTAATAAAAAAACATGTCCGTAAAATGTATTAATACATTTCACTTACATACTTTAAACGCGTTTTCTCGAAACACATTATCCTGTAACTACAGGCATACAGGTTTGTTTGTAGATTCAAATTTGCATGCATGTCTGTAAGAAATTTGTCAATTGTTTCGTAAATCGCTTCAAAATCGATCTAGAGTTTCACATTTCGTATCTTAGCAGTTGCCTCCATCTTTTGCTGAGAATTGTGCGAGTAAACTTGAGTCGGAGGTATCCATCTTTAAACTGATTATAGAGAATTTTGTATCTTAAAAATAACGTTTGCTTACTTAAAAGTCATAAAAAACTTATGAGCCAATGAATCATTTGTAAGTACTTGTTCAAAGCTTCAAATTCGACAATTTTCAAGTTGCAAAAAGGAGTAGAAATTTCAGATTTAAGAAACTCCTTAAGCTACGTTCTTCGATTTGACTGTGTATGAGAATTTTTATGTTCAAATCAACATACAATATTAATTATTAAAAATCAAATATAATTAAAATCCCGGATAAAGACGGCTTGGAAATTTTTCCTACATTCAGCTGAAGTGTAATTTTTCAAACATGACAACTCGTCCACTACTAGTAAAAATTGGGAAATGGCTGTATTCATTGTGTTTCGTTGGTGTTCGCAATAAAACATGAAAATCTCATTTTAAATAATAAATTTTATCTCTACATCATGCGGTAAAATCATATGTCACAGTATAGCCAATTTCTTAGGCTAGTGCGTTAGCGATTCTCATACTAACTCAGGCCTGGGAAGTCTTTTTTATTAACCTTATTTTATTTTTTGTTGCGTAGTATGCTCGTAGTGTTAAAATCATATAAAACGAAGATGTTCGACTCGTTCCATTTATTTTGGAACCGATGACATTACAACTTTATTAATCTCTTTCGTTCGCGACGTGATCATGGTCGATTAGATAGTACACCGTTTATATTGTGGAAGAGATTGCATTTCATCTCTCAGTTAAATTGTCGAGTTGCTGTGAAACTAATTACTCAGAACTATCTTATAATTTTGATCTAATATGCACATACGTTTAAGTTTTTACGTGGATTGTATTACAAACTCGTTCCCGCGTTTCTTCCAAAATGCACGTAATCGGTCAATTCTGTTCATCACAAATAGTTCCGTGTACGATTGCATTATTTGACTTAATAGAGCGTTATGAGATATATAAGTTAGTACGAATTTTTTGGTATGAATTCTGACATGTTTATACAGGTGCGGATCCGTAGGAACGTTGAAAAAGAAAAGAAATTTAAACAAATCTTTCTTTTTTTGGAAGCGGGGCGGGGCACCTTTGCTTCTTTATGTTTTTACTTGTGAAATTTATAATTGCTTTGTTGTTTGTCTTTTTATCTCTGTGGGTTTTAAATTGTGACTCATATCAATTAAAACAATGTCGCAATTGATGATGAAACCGTTCAATGTGAGAAAATTCGAAAATCGCAAATCTAATCGAACTTTAATTTTTATTATGATATTTTAGAGATAAAATTGCGAATGTTCAACGTTTTTCAACTGTAGTGATAACTCATATTAGATTGGTTTTCAATTAGAAAAAAAAAATTCAATTTTTTTTATAAATTGTAAACGATATACGGCTTCCTTTTAAAGTGAAAATTAATATCATGAATTATGATGGATATGTCGTGGTTAAAACACGGTTTTCTTTTTAACACGATGACCTTTTTAAAAAATTATAAGAGGTCGCTGACTAAGCACACGCTAAGATGTGGAAATAGTGTTTTGTAAACAGCATTGACCTATAATTACTTAAAATAAATATTTTACTAATTCTTCGTATACCGTAAAATGATTAGCGTGGACTAAGTTTGTTAACTCGTCTGTAACGCATAAGAGTAAGCATCCATAAATTTTCAATGTATGCACATAGTTTTCATTTCACTGGTCGGCGATAGCTTTCATGCCCTTCATCACACTGTATAGGTGATTTAGGATGACCACTTCATTCTAAAATACATTTCAGACATCCGCAACTGAAACAAATTTTGTGTGCAATGTGGAAATAAATATAAAAGACTTGTGGGTCCAAAACAAACCTAAGAATAGACTCTCGACTACATTATGGAACAATTCGCTATTTACGTGAACATACTTATCCAGTACACAATTTTTTCATAATACAATACAGGTCTCATCTACGTTACAGGAAATATCTGAAATTAGTTTAAGATCCGTACCAGGAACTTCATGTTCGTTGGCTACGTTTGTCCACACGTTCCGTTCCGCGAAAATATTCGTAATTTGATCTTAAAATGGATATTTGCATGTAGGGTTCGGCTAACAGAATTATTCCCTACATTATATATTGAGATTAATTTAGGACCCGTACTGGGTACGTGATGCAGGAGCATTCTCTAGTACAGAGTAGGTTATGAGAGGGAGTTGGACGGCTCTTGCCATTTATAAAAAATGTAGTGACAATTATTTGTTAGGAAGTAACTTTGCAATTTGGGCTGGGCCTTTGTGAATGATTGCGAATATAGGGAATTTCTGGTGTGATGGGTATCCGAGATTTGTTGTGATGCGAAAAGTGAAACAGTTTTCTTATTTTTTTCTTTTCTGAATTTAATTTTGTGTACATTTGATTTTTCCACTTTTCTTATTTGCTCTTCTTTTTTTTGTAATTTTATTTGCAGTAGAAGGAAAAAATTGAATTTTATTTTAAAAGCTCCGGTGCTTTTTTTTCTGTTGTAAACAATCGATAACAATACTGACAACGATTAAAAATTGTTTGCTTTTTTAAACAAAAACACTGAGAAAAGAAGTAAAAATATCGGGAAACTTACGAAAGGATTTCTTTCTACATAATAGAGGTAAGGAAATGCTAGGCTTAAAGCACAAAGGAAATCCAACGTCGATGAAGTAAATTTTATGAATACGTTTACAGTTTCTTTTTAATTAGTTCAGAATATATTTTTTTTGTTATGGATTTCCTTTATTTTTGTTTGTTTATATGTTTAATTTTATTTACTTTTTGTTTGCTTTTTTTTTTTTCTTTTTACAGCTTACTTTTACCATTTTTAAAATTTTGCAAAACAATATTAAAAAAAATTGTATATATAAATTTAATATTGAAACAATTTAGAGACACTTTTTTAGATCTAAACACTGTTAGATAATTGTTTTCGTTATATTTTTAATGCATATTTTCATTTACAAAAAAATTGTTATCGTTGTTTTTTGTGTTTTTTTTTTAATAAATTATCAACATTTTCTAAATGATGACTACTAGCAATAATACCGTCAGAAACAATATGGTCGAAGGTCAACAACAACAGCAGCAGCAACAACAGAATGGTGCTAGTGGGGCTGGTGGCGCTACTGCTAATAATCCGCAAAATACTAATAACAATAACAACAATAATAATAATAGCAACAATAATAATGACAACGAACCGAAAACCAATTTGATTGTAAATTATTTGCCGCAGACCATGTCCCAGGAGGATATCAGAGCATTGTTTGTTAGCTTTGGTGAAGTGGAATCTTGTAAATTGATACGAGATAAAGTAACAGGTGACTATACCTGGGATCATATTGCTTCAAGGGCTCCTAAGTATTGATTCATTTCTCTTTTCCGCTTTTCAGGTCAAAGTCTTGGTTACGGTTTTGTTAATTACGTCAAACAGGAAGATGCCGAAAAGGCTATTAGTTCATTGAATGGTCTACGTTTACAAAATAAAACAATTAAAGTGAGTAGATTTGCTCCCTATTAAAAAAGATAATTTTACAAATATAGGACATATTTCATTTTATTTAAAGGTATCCATTGCCCGTCCTAGCTCCGAATCTATAAAAGGAGCTAATTTGTACGTATCTGGTCTTCCCAAGAACATGACACAACCGGATTTGGAGGGTTTGTTCAGTCCATATGGCAAAATTATTACCTCACGAATTTTATCTGACAATATAACCGGTAAGTGAAAATGTTTGAAAAAAAAAACACAAAGCAAATAGTGAACAAGAGAAAATACGATTAAGAAGAATAGAATTAGTGAGAGGGAAGCGATAAAATAAATTTTGGAAGTTCTTATTACGCCTATTCGCAATTTAATCGACGCCATAGATTTCCTTCATTTTATGAATTTTGTTATGCGACGTGACAATAATAATAGTGCTCTGTAAATCGTTTTATTTGTACTAAATTTTCTGTCGGCGAACACATTTAACTATTATATATGAATTAATGATACGGTTGTCCATTTTTCCAATTTATTAAGAATATGGATGCATCAATTATGAACTTGCAGCTTCTTCCGAAAGGAAGATTTAATTACGAAAAATACGACACAAACAACGACGACGAACGGAGGTAACATAACAAAACCATGAACTTATGTCGATTCAATCTCTTTCATCTCTTTTATATTTGAACTTAATCTGAGAAGAACATATTTACCAAAAGTATTTTATTGTAATTGTTGCGATTGTGCGACAGACAGCGGACCGTATAAGTCTAAATCGACCGTAACGCGACGTAATGCTTCCAAATTTGAAGATTGATAGCGGTCAGGAGAATGTTGGCTACAAACAGACCGAGTGATGTAATTAAATCAACTCAGAATTTAATGCTGGTCAAGAATTTTAATAGCTTATTGTGTTTCTGAAATCAATTCAGAATTTGATGTTTATCCAGAATGTATATAGTTTATGGTATCTCTGAAGTTTCCTTCAGCAAATGTTTTGACAAAAAGTTAATGAATTTTATACTTAGCTCGCTTGCTATCAAGGTCTCCTGGGGAAAATATCCACCACGGCACGAAATTTTTCGTAATGATATGAAGTCAATAGGAACAGATTTTAAATATATGTATGCAGACTATTCAAAAAAAGGTAGAATAAGCCTTCTTTTAATCTGACACAAATATGCCACAACTGGTAGTGAACCAGCTAATGTACGCCAATATTGCCATTGTGATCTGATGACATAAGTCTCATGACATGCTTGATAAGATTTCTATGCTAAGAAACAGTTGGAATACAGAAATGGAAATCTGAAACACAAGTATTTTGTATACTGTAAAAGTAGTAGAGCATTTTATTCAAATACTTTTTTCTTCTATCATTCGTAGTGGAAGTCTAGAATCTCGGATACCAAATTTACTATGAACAGTTTTTTAATCAATTTCTAAGTTTTTGCTGCTATCATAGTAGATATCTATTATGCAGAATTAAGGAACACAAGTAATTCGCGTCATACTATCTCAAACCAATACGTAAAAAGTATAAACTATTTTCGTTTTTTTAATTATGCGGCCGCAATTTCCGTATTTTTCTTACTGTACCCTTTTAGCCGGAAATTGGGAAATTTTATTTGTTCCAAGCTATACTTTTTTCAAGTGGCGGGCGTATTAGTATGTGAATTACGACATCCTTATACTGAAGTAAATGCTCCTGAAAAAAACACTTCTCATAAATTTCAGTTTATCAGATTTCAGAGAATCATAAGTGGCAAATTGTTGTGCTTGTGGGCATAACATAGATTCATTTTAGACTTTCACAAGTTCCAAAAAGACGACAGGAAGACGGACTGACCAAGAGACAACGTTAAGTTGATTCTGAATTTTATACCAATCGAAAATATATGTGATGCGTTACATTTCTTACGAGCATCTGTCGATGTCACAAAAGCAAGTAAGAGCAAATGTAGCTTATCACTATTCTTTGATGGTGGATTGACTAAAATTAACTTCCTGGCACTTATTTTAATATCACAATATATTTGATTTCATTTGTTTTTAATATAATTTAATTTTAATGTATTTTAAATATGTTTTAATAATTTTTTTATATTTTATTTTATTTAAAAAATTATAAATATCGTTTTGTTAGGTTCTGGGCCCCATGATCAGGGTATGTTTTTATATATATGTACGTTACAGTTTCCATTTTCGTGTTTACTATTCATTATCAAAAACACCAACTCATCTGTTGATAGCTAACAACCACCACCCAGTCTTTAATTTCTGACATTCTACCATTATTTTAAGTTATGGTGCATTTTCTAATGTGAAATAAAATTTTATTTTTTAGGTCTCTCAAAAGGCGTGGGCTTTATACGTTTTGATCAACGTCATGAGGCTGACCAGGCTATTAAAGCGTTAAACGGTACTATTCCAAAAAATGCAGCTGAACCAATCGTAGTAAAGTTCGCGAACAATCCAAGTAATAATAAAGCCTTTCAACCTCTAGCCGCTTATTTGGCTCCTCAAAATGCTCGGGCTGCTGCCAGAGGTTTTCCTACTGGTGCAGCCGGCGCAGCGGCAGCGGCAGCGGCAGCTGCTATACATCCTTCAGCTGCTGGCAGATACAGGTGCGTCAAATCATTGTGAAATTTTGATTTATTGATATATTTATGTCCAACCCATGACGGTTGACGTATTTTAATGATAAATGGAATCGAATTTGCTATTAGCAACAGGAAATTGAACATTTTTTTTTATATTTTTATTCGGTTGGAAATTAGTTACGATAAGCCTAGAGTGCTTCATATTATTCATTCCATATAGAACATAATCTTTAATCCATTCTCGATTTTTAAATTTGGTTTCCAGTTCTGTCATTTCGCGTTATTCGCCGCTTACAGGCGATCTTTTGGCTAACACAATGTTGCCTGCGAATCCTATTAACGGTTCGGGTTGGTGTATTTTCGTTTATAACTTGGCTCAAGAAACTGAAGAGAATGTTCTTTGGCAATTATTTGGCCCTTTTGGTGCAGTACAGTCGGTTAAGGTAAAAAATTGCTTATCTTGAAGCCTAGTCTTAAAAAATGTTTATGCATATTTTATCTTTTTAAGGTCATACGTGATTTGCAAACTAATAAATGCAAGGGATTTGGTTTTGTGACCATGACTAATTACGAAGAGGCCGTTGTAGCTATACAGTCCTTAAATGGATATACGTTGGGCAATCGTGTCTTACAGGTCAGTTTCAAGACCAACAAGACTAAACAAACGTAATTATTAACGAAATTGACTGCTGCTGTTGTTAATAATGCCGCCCCCACCAGTAATGCCCTCACCGCGCGATCCTCTCTAATGAACACCGTAGCAACCACCGTTAAAAATAATACTTCAGCCACTACAACTGTTAAAACATTGCTAAATGCCAATAACAAGAAGAACTCCACAATTATTAGCGATATGACTTCAGTCACCAACACTAACATCACCAATTCAGTTACGAATTCGAATAATGCAAAACCCACTAGCAATACATCCGTAAACACAAATTCCAGTAACATTAACAACAGCAATCAGCCATTGTTTAAGAAAAGCAATAAAACAACGACAGCAACAACTTTGCCTACGCAGACCGTAAAAGATCAACAATTACAACAGCAGCAACAACAACAGAAATCTTTATTGCACACCTTAGCCAACGCAACTACCGCAAACGCTAGCGCTGCTAATGTTAGTGTTAGCGTTGGATCTGGTACTTCCACCACGCAAACCATAATTAAAACTTCGAGTAAATTTGTTTATAATAAACCGCAAAACCATTTTGAACTACTGCAGCAACGTCTACAAATGCAGCAGGAATTCACTCAACTTTTGACCAGTGTGGCTCAACAACATCAACAGCAATCAACTTTTGGCCCTGGTGGCCCTTTAACGCATCATGGCAGTAGCTTAACTTTAGGTACTTCTAATACCGGTAATACTTCTACATCATCATCCAATACAGCGACAGCCACTAAAAATCCTTTGTCACCGTTTCTACCATTTTCAAATTGGTTTTTCTAAAAAAAAAAAATTAAATCGTTTTAAGAGGAAAAATTATATGAAAAAAGAAAAAACAAAACAAAAACCAGGTGAGACTACTCTTTTTAAACAATCAAGTAAAGATTTTAGAATTCATTTTTTCAGTTTTTGTAAAAATGCATATATATATATGTGCGTATGTAATATTAAGTTATTTTTCTTGAGAAAGATGAAAGTAGAATATTATGGTTTAATAGAAAATATTTAAAGTAAAATCAAAAATTAAATTATCTTCACGCGCTTATGACGAAATTAATAATTATATGTAACGGAAATCATTACTTTTGTTTTAAACAGATGTTTTTTTTTTATAACCTTTTAAGTCGTTCTTCTTTATGTTTTCGTTTTTGCCTTAAGTTTTTTAGTTTCTGTATATAGATTTTTGTTTTTTTTTTTTAAATAAAATAAATAATATTTTAATA